AAGATACACACACACACACACACATTAGCGCCTAAACCTGAGGGTTCCAGTCACTTGAAGGCCCCCACCACGCCCCCTTTTTTTAAATTAAAAAGGAGTTCACCCACCCAATAATTGTATATGGAGTCTAAGATGCTCCCTGTAACCACGTATATAAATTTTCTTTCAAAATATGTGTTGATACATTTCATTGATTTTAAGTATATTATTATTATTATACTCTTCTGCCATTCAGCACATTAATAATAAAAAGTATTATTATTATTTTTATCATGTGATAAGTGATAATGAGCCCGCCCCAACTTAATTTTTTTTTCTGCATTGAATGACCTGAGTCCCCCCCTCCCCCCCCCCATATTACCTCCCAATTATTTGCCCAGAACATGTATACCAGAATGTAGCTGAAAAGAGGGGGTGGGGGGGGGTGGTGGCACTGAGACTCAGTGTTGTATTATATATGTGTGTTTGTGTTAGTGTGTGTGTGTGTGCGTGTGTATATATATATATATATATATATATATATATATATATATATATATATATATATATATATATATATATATATATATATATATATATATATATATATATATATATAATGCTCCGCCAAAAAAAAAACACTTTAGATTGACTCACACCACCGCCCCACTTCCTCTCCCACCCTGACGCCCTACTTCTCACAACCTAGAAAAAATATTGATAATATATATTCTTCCCCAACTAAATAATATTGGGAGTCATCCCTCCTCATCACCTTACAAATGGTGTAGGCAAATGATTATGGTTGGGGGGGGGGGGGGCTGAAGTCGTTTAATTTCTCACCCAAAACAATACGAAGGGGGAGTTCCCACTCTCTACCTTTATCCAAAAATTCTTTAAGGGAACTGGGGTGCCTCTTTAAGCCATGTAAATGCTTTTTTTTTTTTTAAACACAATTTGTTTCTTTATTTTAAATCATTTCATATTATTGTAATTATATAATTAAATATATGTGCCCTTCAGCACATTATTATAATTATGATCATTTTTTAATAAATATTAATGTGCTGAATAGTAAATCAGTATAATAACATATTTACAATAATATTAAATGTATGGGCACATATTTCTTAAGAAAATGTCTATATATAGTTACAGGGGGCAACTTTGTGTGTGTGCACATGACTCGACAAGAAGCTGACACGCAGACACTAGGGAGAGTGCCACGCTTCTCTCATGTCTATTCATAATATCAAATAATGGCAGCACCTAGAGATATCTTGTTCCACTGCTGTTTCCTAAAGTACCCTATTTACAGGACCCCTGCTGTTAGTTAAGTCTCCCTCTGTTGACAGCCGGCATCCGGTTAGGGCGTTCGGCATTGTGGGCGTAATTCTGGCGGTCTCCTTGTAATTAACTACACCTGCTAGATATCAACTTAATGGTCATCAGTTGTGGGTCCAGTGTAGGTTAAGTGTGAAACTGTATCAACACTTAACCTTCTGGACTAGTTTCTTAAAACTGTTTCATTGTCGGACTTTTGCTAGACATAGTTTTAAATTCCTAATAGTTTGAAAGCGTGATGTTCAAACATAATTACAGTTCCATGACTTACAGAGAACATATTCAGTCTTGTATGTGTTTGAAACTATCGTATAATTCATATGATGGTAAGTAAATTTAAGTTATGTACGGAGTTGTATTTGGCGAGGCACTGGGGTTTGAGATTTTGAACAACGGATCAACATCATGGCACACGGTTAGTAACCATAAGTGCTCCGTTCTTCTTCTAACTGAAGTCTGAACCTGAAGAAGCTCAGCACAGTGCACAGGCTCTGTAGCAGCGGCGAGGATCTTTAAATACTTTGGGTAGAAATTTTACTCAATTTTGCCTGTGCAGCTACTTTTTTCGATTTCCAACCGACAAGGGATTTTTTTAACGTTCGCAACATTGCACACGGGTGTCCGATCTCACTTCCCAGAGACCAGGGAAGAATTACTAGAAATCCAAGTCCACGTGATTGAACCCGAAACCTCTAGCACTCGAGGCGGACACCATACCTCGAATCCACGCAGCCCCATGCGAGTCACTAAGTCAGCGCAGTAAATGAAGCGTAATGGCCCTCCTCTGTTTATAAAAGAACCAGTGCATTTATTAATTTCACGAATAATTGGTGATGAATTTGATTGGTGATGTTTTTTCACTTGGAAGAAAGTGTAATTTTCAAAGTCAGTTCTGAAATATTTTGTCTGCCTGTGTTAGTCACGAGGCTCTAAGATTTGGTCTGGCTAGTCTAAACAACGTCCCTCTCCTGCTCGGTAACTACTTAAGTCGATGGTAGTGTGTGTGTGTGTGTGTGAGTGTGTGTGTGAGTGTGTGTGTGTGATTGTGTGTGTGTGTGTGTGTGTGAGTGTGTGTATGTATGTATATCCCTCTCCTGCTTGTTAACTACTTAAGTCGATGGTAGTGTGCGTGTGTGTGTGTGTGAGTGTGTGTGTGATTGTGTGTGTGTGTGTGAGTGTGTGTATGTATGTATATCCCTCTCCTGCTTGTTAACTACTCAAGTTGATCGTAGTTGTGTGTGTGTGTGTGTGTGTGCGCGCGCGCTTTCAGGACCATTCTTACCATCATAAGTATCTGATATTTGTAGTAATATCTCAATTACAACAACAACAACAAAACAAAAATACAACAAAATTCACAACCATACCGAGAATTTTCAACGTGGTGGTGGTGCTTCTCGAAAATAAAATAAAAATTAGAAAAATCAAAAAGTTCAACTAGCTAAAGGGGAGCTTTAGGTTATAATTGTGACTAGGTTATTTGCGCCACATAAAATGGCTCAGCATTGTACGCCACAAAGAACCCTGAAAAGGACTCCTGCAGTGTTGGTGCGATCAATGGAGGCAGACCCAAATACTGTCCCGGCCGGCAACGAAGTCATTTACCGGCGAACTAATGGGCGACCTGGTGGCCGATGTCCAGCGCAGAAAGCCAAGTGTCCATGACCTTTGAGCCACCCTCTCTTCTCAGTTGTGCTCTAACTGATAATTTGTGCGTAATCAATTCTCCTGTGTTGGTGGCTAAAAGAAAAGCCTATCCCACACAAATAGCCAAGACGCAAGTGTGTTTCCATGTCTGACATAAACGAACAGCGTAAAGCCCTGTCATAACGCGGATGGCGCAATTTTGATTCTTTGAGACTTTTTGGAAATTTGATTTAGCGGCTGTGCCCCAAAGCAACTATCCCATATTCAAGTGTTGGCCTGACATAGCTTGTACAGGTTCTCACGAGAACATTGAGGTTAGAGCGCCCCCCCCCCCCCCCCCCCCGTCGGGGCTGTTCAGCCTACTTTCCTCCTCAGCTGAGTTCTCTTGAGTTACATTCTTTGATTGTTTTATATTTGTTTTTATTTCTATGCGAGTCTTGGGTCACATGTTCCTCCTAATTACAATGGAGAGTCATAATGTTTCAGCTTCTGAATCTGTGAGTAAAGATTTCTTGGGCTTGGTGGACAGACTAAACATAGTGTGTGTCGTTTTAGTCCAATTTACGGCGGGTGATATCTATTGGACCACTTCTCTAGATTTCCGGGGATGTGATGTGCCGAAATACTCCTCTGAACTGTGTAGGGCCAAATCACTGGCATACTTACAGCTTTAACTCCATTACGAAGGGTGGATTGTATGTCATGAATATGAACGATGAAAAGAATTGGGGATAGAACTCCGAACTGTGGAATTCACTGTTTTATTGTGACTGATCTATTTCTTGAACCTTGTATCTTGACTCTTTCAGTTCGATTGCTTTCAGTGAGCTTCTGATTAAGCCAAATAGTGACACTTTGTCAAAGACCTTTTCCATATCCTCCCCGAACTGTAATAGTGTGTTTCATTTTTTTAAATGCATTTTCAATTTTATGTCAGTAAGTTTAATTTGAGCTTCTACTGATCTATAACGTCAAAAAACTGCATGTTCCTGTATTTGTTTGAAATATTACTGAGGAATCAGGTCAGTCTGTTGTTTAATATTCTTCCAAATTTTACAGACAATTAGTTAGGCTTATTGGTCTGTAGTTGTCTGTGTTGTTCTTTGACATTCTCTGCTTGGGGTTTATGAAGACTTCCTCCAGGCTGGGTAAACTTTACTAAAAAATACGGCTAGCTTTAAAGATATTTAGCAGTTTCTTTTTTTTTCTTCAAGTCTCATGTGCATATCCTTTGTGACTTTACAGGGCCCAGGAGCTTGGTTAGATTTCAGTTTGTTTAATCCTGGGTTATATTCATTATTATGAATGTATTTGAAGTGATGTCCTCTGCTGATGGCTTCCCCAAGTTCTTTCATTCTATGTATTACCTCAGGTTCTCTGGAATATTCTACTACTGCAAAATTATGTGAATGTTCTACTACTGTAAACATATCGGAATATTCTACTACTGCAAACTTATGGGAATGTTCTGCTAATGCAAAATTATGGGTCTAGAAACATTTACCCAATATCCCTTAAAATGTTGCTTTAATTGTTTTTTTTTTGTTAAAATCAACCCAGTGTTTTTTATACTAGTAATTATGTTACATTCATACGTTAAGAAAGTTTAATGCATTCTTAGTTTTATAATGTGAAGTAAAATTTGCAGTCATATTTTCCAGGCTACACGTGCACATCCTGACCGCAACATGTGATTCAAGTTGGATTAACCCTAAATGGGTGACACATTCAGCCCTGCTCCAGGAAACAGAAGCAGAAAACGAGGCTTATCCCATGTCAGAATTAAGCAAGAAGACTCGAGCAGTAGAGACAGTAGCCATTCACCTGTACTGCTTTCGTTAACACCAGCAGATAAGATAACCCGACGAGATGACTTCATCAGCCACGGAACAGAAATAGAGCTTCGCGGTGACACGCTTGATTATTCCTTTGAGGATAATAATTATTACAAACGCCACTCATCTATACTGGCGTGTTCGTCTTTCTCATCTTTTGAATCCGACGGCGAGAAACTGCGACTAACACAAGGCATGGATAGTATTAATAGAAACGGCCAGGCCAGCATGGATAGTCTCTGGGATGATCGGGGCATGCCAGATTCTTCTGGTCGCCATCCAAAGCCCAGATGTTCTGCCAATGCGAGGGAACGGGACCGTACGCACAGTGTCAATACGGCCTTCATTACCTTGCGGACACTTATTCCTACAGGTAAATATTTACTGAATAATTTCGGCACCAGTCAGCTCGTCATGTTAATATTGGTTAATTTGTTTGTTTGTTTGCTGTTGTTGATACTTTCAAACTGTCTGATAGGTCACCTTGGAGGATGGAGGATGGTGGGGTCTCTAAGGACATTCTCTGTGATGAATAACATATTGGTAAAAGATGTCTAGGGCAGTCTCTTCAACAGTATAAAGACATTTGAAAAAGGTACACGAAGGATACAGTTATTAAAACTGATTCGCAGGAACAGTAGGCTATGTCATGGACCACAAACCACGCAGCCTGTTATGAGGTAGTGGAGGGGGCGAGGACTAATTAGTAAGCGAACAGGAATAAAGGAACAATTATTGCAGATAGGCTAAGAGCTAGGGGTCGGAGAAGAAGTCCATTGCATGTATGCAATGGCAGCGATGGACATTTCATGCTCTAATTGCGGAAGTCTTCTTAATGTTAACAGGTCTTGCTTATCAAATTAATCATCGCCAAGTACTGTGACTCTATGCCTCCCTAAAATACAGTAGTTTAGTATAGTGGCTGCTTTAATTCTTTCGCTGTACCGTTAAATTGCTATAACTAAAGCGGATAAAACGATTCTTATTCCTAACCTAAACGAAACAACTTTAGTGTACACAATATGGAAGTCGCTGGGCTTATGGAGTCGCTACAACAATACAATGATAGTTTTTGTAGTCATGTTTTGTATTACCATGTATGTCTCATAAGGGATATAAGTCACCCAGGTGCCATCTTAGCAATTAAGATTGACTACAGTTAATTTATCCCCAACACCCTCTGTCATGTTATGTTTGTACTCACTAAATTTATCACACCCTACTGTCTTGTTATGTTTGTACTCACTAAATCTATCACTCACACCCTCTGTCTTGTTCTGTATGTACACACTAAATCTATCCCTCACACCCTCTGTCTTGTTCTGTATGTACACACTAAATCTATCCCTCACACCCTCTGTCTTGTTATGTTTGTACTCACTAAATCTATCTCTCACACCCTCTGTCTTGTTTTGTATGTACTTACTAAATCTATCCCTCACATACTCTGTCTTGTTTTGTATGTACTCGGTTAATCTATCTCCCACACTCTCTGTTTCGTTGTGTCTGTACTCAGTGAGTCTGTCTCTCTGTCACGTTTTGTCTGTACTCAGTGAATCTATCTTTTGTCTTGTTTTCTTTGTACTCAGTGACTCTATTGCTCGCACTCTCTGTTTCATTTTGTTTGTACTCAGCGAATCTATCTCTCCCACTCTCTGTTTTGTTTTGTTTGTACTCAGTGAATTGATCTCTTCCGCTCTCTGTTTTGTTTTGTTTGTACTCAGTGAATTTATCTCTTCCGCTCTCTATTTTGTTTTGTTTGTACTCAGTGAATTTATCTCTTCCGCTCTCTGTTTTGTTTTGTTTGTACTCAGTGAATTTATCTCTCCCACTCTCTGTTTTGTTTTGTCTGTACTCAGTGAATCTGACTCTTTGTCACGTTTTGTCTGTACTCTGTTTTGTTTTGTTTGTACTCAGTGAATTGATCTCTCCCACTCTCTGTTTTGTTTTGTTTGTACTCAGTGAATTGATCTCTCCCACTCTCTGTTTTGTTTTGTTTGTACTCAGTGAATTTATCTCTCCCACTCTCTGTTTTGTTTTGTTTGTACTCAGTGAATTGATCTCTCACACTCTCTGTTTTGTTTTGTTTGTACTCAGCGAATCTTTCTCTCTGTCATGTTTTGTTTGTACTCAGTGAATCTATCTTTTGTCTTGTTTTCGTTGTTCTCTTTCTCAGACTATTGTTCGTCCATGTCTCAGTGAAATCATTTATGTGTATCCCTATCTAATTCTTGTTTTAAATTTGTTTTGAACAACCTTCTTGTATACATTTGCAGTCTCTGCAAAACTTCTATTTTTGTCATATCCCTATTTTTCTGTATATATGCAATAATTTGTTGTTGTTGTTTGACTATATTTGTTGTGTCACTATTATTCTGTATACATTCAGTTAGATATTGTTGATGTTGTTGAATGACTATATTTGTTGTGTCCATAGTCTCCTGTATACATTCAATTATTTGTTGTTGCCGTTGTACGTGTATGTACATACACAACACAAAGATAAAACGTTGATATGGGTAGTGGTTTTATATTGCTCTGAACACTGGAGCACAACTAACGAGATGAAGCCTTATTATACATTTTCAACAAAAACAAAAAGTCTAACAATCTTCTTCTTCTTCGCGTTCACCAGCTGTAAACTCTGGCGAAAGGTTCTGGTTGCTCGTCCACTACTGAACTGCAGTCCTGCTCCAGAACCTGAGTGTTGCGTGTGCACCAGTTTTACAGAACTCATTCTTTTGAATTCAGACTGTTGGTTCCTTGCCTCTCCGGCAGATGCACTCCGACTTCAAAGGAAGCTCCCCAATTAGTCAACTCTTTTGGGGAGGCAGTGGGTCTATTCTTGTTTTCCCCACAATGGGGCCCCGGAACCCACACGGAGGGGGGAGGGGGTTTAACAATGAATCTGTGGGCCCATCAAAGATGCAAGCAGCAGAGAATTGAGAATGAGAGGCAACAACTAAATGTATTAGCTGTTTAAATCTCTATTGATCACTGGCATTACGAGGGCTCATAGACTGAAATGGCACAGGTATACTTAGAGAATGTCAGATGACAGAGAGCCGCCCTAGCGCCATCGATAGGAGGCTCGCTTTCAAATCCAGCTGCGACTCACTGCAGCCACGGTCGGTGTTCGAAACCGGGCGGTTCCCGGGGTTCACCCAGCCTCTAGGAAATAAATACACAGAAAGTTGTTTCATTTGTGTCTTGAATATTTCTTGGTCCTCTTATTTTCTTCTTCTGGTAAGGCGCCTATATTTCCTTGCTGAATCTCCACTTTTAGTTGTTCCTTATTTGCCATGTATATGCAGAATTACTTGTTTCTTCAAGGGTGTAGGGAAATGTGCGTCGCTGAACTTAATGTCCTGATAAAGGATTTCTTCTTCTGCCTTTCTAGGCTTCAGCCAGCTCACGCCAAGTCGTTCTTTCCTTCCATATCGCATGCAGCGCTCCCCATCTTTTTAACTTTACTAACTCCCTTCTCTTTTTTGGGGGGAGACAAAAAAAGGGAGGGGGGGGGTCTTTCTTTATTTCTATGCCCCTGTGGTTCCAGTGCAAAAACATAATAGTAATATTCCCCATTATATTCCGCACTAATTATTCTGCCATACCATTGTATACCAGCTCATTACTTTTATAGAGCAATCAGTACTTGTTGAGTGATTGAATGAATGTTGAATTAAGAATCGACATCACAGCACACGGGACACCCCCATAAGCGTTTCGTCCCCATCTTCAGCAGCAAGCAAAAAGTTAAAATTCCGGTGTAACTATCTGATTGTAAATCCATCTCGCTTTCCCACGAGTGTCGAGCGTCGGCCAGATCCCCTAGTACTTGCTAAGTGATGTGGCTAGCAAAAGCACCGGGAACCTGTATTTCTTTAGAATATTCTCTTGTACACATTTTTGTGTAAAGACCAGTGAGGAGTCTTGCAATATAATCAAGGGGCCGGAGGTCTGGCCATGTACTAAAAAAAATGGGGGCGAGTCTTGCATACAAATAATGGGGTTGGGGGGGGGGGGGGGGGGGGGGGGGGGGAGGGGGGGGGAGACCACTGGTCTAGATCAACATGGCAACCCACATGAAGATTAAACATCTGTCATGATGCTATTTAAAAGCGCGTCCTAACCCACACAGGGCTGTCGGATAGGCCAGACTGGTGTTGCTGTGACATGTGCCCTAAAGATAACTTTTTCAGAGTTTAAACGGCACCTCTGAGATCTGCCTTCTTAGTCTGCACTCTAGTTTGAGATGCCTCAATCTCAGGATGATATGATAAACCATTAGGTAGCAGTCCGGAGGGGACAAACAAAACGGTCGATCACGAAACGAACCCAGGGTATCCTGGACGACAGGTAAGCTTGCTAGTCATTGCGCTACGCACTTATCTGTCTATCGCTAGATACTTTATGAGTCAGTTCAGTTCAGGACTAACATAGGATGTAATGAGCAATTCGGGAACAAAGAATGTACAATAAATTAACAAAAATATCCATCAGGTGCCGTCTCCACATAGAAAGTTGGCTACAATGGATCTCCAACTCTGCCTCTTCCATTGGCAAAATGGTCTCCAAGACTGCTGTTCGTCCATCTCGAGATGTCCCATTGTTCTTGTGCTTTCTTGCCTGTAATCCCCCCACCCCATTTACCCCTTCTAGTATAGTTTTGTATGGAAATTGAACTTCTCCATCAAGCTCTTACATGGGCACCGGAGGGGAAAAGAAAACGGGAAAGACCAAGAGAGACACTGCTTAGAACTATCGTCAGGGAAGGTTTTACCATGAGCCTAATGAACATCCGAAACCTAAAACAGGTAGCATCGAACCACCAAACATTGAGAGCTATGACCTCTGCCCTATGCGTCGCCCTAGGCTCAAGAGAAAAGACTAATTAAGTATAGTTTTCGAAAGAGTTTTATGAACAAAAATGATATCTCTTGCAGAACCTGCAGACCGCAAACTATCCAAGATAGAAACACTGAGATTAGCCGCCAGTTACATCGCTCATCTGAGCACGGTGCTCATGGTCGGGGCCGAATGCTCCGAGCAGCCGTGCATCAAACACCAAGCCATGATCAGGGGGCACCAGCCTGTGGATATGCCCAAGCCTGTGTGTACATTCTGTTTAAGCGCTGCAAGACACAAACCGGTAAGTTACTTCACTTGTGTGCCCGTCTCTATAGCGTAGTTGGCTAAACCGGATTGCGCGGTGAGCGGGTGACGAACTCCTTGTGGTCCGGGTTCCCTCCCGGGGGTGGACAGAAAAGCCACATTTTCTCCCAGATTTACGGTATTTAAAATTGAATCAAGGCCAAAAGGTTGCGATATCCATAATACCGAGCCTAAGGGTTAATAACTCATGGCTTCTGGATACTAAAACAAACTTCACTTGTGTTACGAAGAGGCATCGAATGAAACCTTAAAAATTAGATATAAATTACAGGAACATTGCCATTGTCTTTTAACCTGTCAGTATTGTGGTTAAGGATGTCAAGAGTGATAAGCACTTGGCATCACTGTGCAGACGAACATGTTGACGTCGAAGTGACAGTTTAAAAATGGTCGCCCCACTTTTGACAAGCAATAGTGACGTGCAGTTTAACAGAAAACACACTGGCTTTTGCCGGGGGCCCTGAATATAGCCGGGCCATAAATATATGTCCTCAATGCTGAAGGGAGTTTCTGGGACCTCTCCACGGGTGATCCTCATTCGCATGGTGGCACTTTGTGTCACTTGGTGTTTATCGCTTGTGTGATGTCCTGGTTGGAAACAACTAACTACCTAACTATATATATATATATTATTTTTAAATAGGTGGTTATTGTGATTTTTATCACACTTGTAAGGCTTTCATTTAAAATCCCCTTAAACAATAATTAACAGTGCTTAATGGGTTTGGTGACCAGTCATGTAGCCTTTTATTTCTTCTCTCCCTACAGTTAACTCAGCTAAGTCTTATGAAGTATGGGGGTGGGCGATGGAGGTATCTGTGTGCCCATGGCTAAAGCGATGTGTTAATTGGTCCTCATGTCTTTAAGGCATGGAATTATGTAATTGTCAAGGACTCACATACCATGGTTTGGAAAAAATCGAAATGGCGTTCTACGCATAGATGATGTTAATTCTTGACCCATTCATTCATTCATTCATTCATTCATTCATTCATTCATTCATTCATTCATTCATTCATTCATTCATTCATTCATTCATTCATTCATTCATTCATTCATTCAATTTTTCATTCATTCATGGTCTTCTTATTATATTTCATCAGTTTAGCTCACAGAAGTTTTATGCTAAAGCAGTGTCGACAGATATTCAGACTATCTCAACTTTTTCTCTGAACTGTATGGCTGGTTTCAGTCTTAGTTCTGTTCTCATTTTTTCACCTTGATTTTATCCAATCTTGTTTGGAGCCACGATAACGTAGTGGCTAAAGGCTCGTCTGTCAACCCGAAGATCTCCTCTTTAAATCTGTAGCAAGGCCAAAGATGTTCAGAATGAACAGTGGCTTCCAGGTTGACACAAGTCTAAAATAGGTCCCAGATAATCTTGACCACATCACCGATAGATCCAAAGGGAACATCATCTTGTTACTACGGCAGCTCTAGTAAGACATCTCACCTCTGTCTGTATGATTTCCCTCTCATTAAGATGATTTCTTTCTCATTACCTGTAGTAGGAAACTATGTTTGGTATCGCAGAGGGGGAAAACATTCTAGACAGTAATGTGTCGGAATTCCCGTTGAGGAGGAGTTTAAAACAGAGCGACGATACCATGTCGACCTTGATAGACAAACAGAGAGGGAACCCTTGAGGCCGTAGAACAATTATATATATAATAAACAAGCAGGCAATCTTTTGATCGGCACTCATAGAAAGAAGTAAAAAGATAGAGAGACACACTAGACAACATAAACATCGTAAGTTATAGTTACCATTCCGGAAATCGAGCCTGTCACTTCTAAATGGCGTGTGCGCCTCGCTATGGAGGCGACGGGTTTGATTCCAGGCGTGGTAACTATATCTTTCGATTGTTATGTTGTCTAGTGTGTCCTTGTATCTTTCTAATTCTCTTTAAGAATGGTGATCAATACACTGTCTGTTTGTTCATTATATATATTCGACCTAGATGGGTACCTGTAAAATGTCTGCACATGAAAAAAGACCAATGTGAAATCAATCATAAAATCTTTAACTTCTTCTTCTTTTTTCGTCTCACTGATACCAGGTTGTGGTCCTGGTTTGTAGTTTTGTCGTCTCACAGATACCAGGTTGTAGCCCAGTGTCGTAGTTTTTTCGTCTCACAGATACCAGGTTGTAGCCCAGTGTCGTAGTTTTGTCGTCTCACAGATACCAGGTTGTAGCCCAGTGTCGTAGTTTTTTTCGTCTCACAGATACCAGGTTGTAGCCCAGTGTCGTAGTTTTTTCGTCTCACAGATACCAGGTTGTAGCCCAGTGTCGTAGTTTTGTCGTCTCACAGATACCAGGTTGTAGCCCAGTGTCGTAGTTTTGTCGTCTCACAGATACCAGGTTGTAGCCCAGTGTCGTAGTTTTTTCGTCTCACAGATACCAGGTTGTAGCCCAGTGTCGTAGTTTTGTCGTCTCACAGATACCAGGTTGTGGCCCAGTGTCGTAGTTTTGTCGTCTCACAGATACCAGGTTGTGGCCCAGTGTCGTAGTTTTGTCGTCTCACTGATACCAGGTTGTGGCCCAGTGTCGTAGTTTTGTCGTCTCACAGATACCAGGTTGTAGCCCAGTGTCGTAGTTTTGTCGTCTCACAGATACCAGGTTGTAGCCCAGTGTCGTAGTTTTGTCGTCTCACAGATACCAGGTTGTAGCCCAGTGTCGTAGTTTTGTCGTCTCACTGATACCAGGTTGTAGCCCAGTGTCGAGGTTTTCTGTATTTGTCTTGCGCTTCTCTGGTCGCTTGAATGGTGGAATCGTTCAACTTTTTACAGGTTTCAGCTACACCATTCATCCATTTCTTGGTCTTCCACTCTCCTTCCTTCCAGATGTTCTACTGTTAAAAGTCTCATATGCCGTCTGGCCTAGCTGCATTCTCCCTAGATAGTCGAACCATTTCACTCTTTGCCTGTCAAAATAATAAAGACATGATCTTATTGTAACTTTCTCTCCAATGCTGGTATTCATAACCCTGTCTCTTCTAGTTTTGTTAGTGAACTTGCGGAAACAGCGCATTTCACATGTAGTTATTTTTTAAAAATTGTAGTGCTTTATTCATATAATCAAATACTGATTTGTCCAATAAAATATGAAACTACCATCATATGTCCAATACTGCTAAAGGCATACCAGAAAAACACTTATATTTGTCTTTCTGGTGGCCAAGGGGTGCTCAGGGTGTTTAAGCCGTCCAGGCTGCATCCTTCCTTTTCATTTTGTCCCCCACTGCCATCTGCGCTAAATTCCCTATTTCACCATCTACATGAAATACACCGTTCCATACCAAAAATAAAAGTCGGATGTGTCAGCCAAAAGGCGCAAATATAGTAACTATGATATAAAAAAGACCAACACAGTTACATTTAAAAAAAACGAAAAAAGGAGAAAAATAATTAGTTCATACTTGACCGATCTGGGTGTGTTGCATACTGGACTTGTGTGTAATTATATAAGGAAATATCGCTTTCATCTTATCTCTTTCACCCACAACCGTGTCTGAGAGGCAAGGAACCAACAAACTGCATACAAATAAGTCACATATGTAAATTGGATGTGCACGCAACACTCAGTTCTGGAACAAGACTAAAGTCCAGAGGTGACCCAACACACAGAACCTTCGACGTTTAGTTTATCTTCATATCTTCATGATGCCGGAGTGCCGGGTTCGATCCCAGCTGCGGGCCTTGCACCTTGCGTTGGTTTCGACAGTGGTATTGAGAAGCCGACCGTCCAGGATGCAGTAGCAAACTACTAGACGTAAACGTACCCAGAAAAACCACAACAGTCAAAAAATGATGGATTTGGTTCTACAACGTCCTGTAAAGGATACACAACAAACTTTATGAAATCTTCATATTCGATAGCATTTTAAATTATCTACTTTGGTTGTTGTATGTCTCATATACAGTCATATCAGTCACACAGGACATAGCAGACAGAAGAACATAGCAGACAGAAGAACATAGCAGACAGAAGAACATAGCAGAAGATGAACATAGCAGACAGAAGAACATAGCAGACAGAAGAACAAAGCAGACAGAAGAACATAGCAGACAGAAGAACATATCAGACAGAAGAACATAGCAGACTGCAGAACATAGCAGACAGAAGAACATAGCAGACAGCAGAACGTAGTAGACAAAAGAACATAGCAGACAGCAGAACATATCAGACAGTAGAACATAGCCGACAGAAGAACATAGCAGACTGCAGAACATAGCAGACAGAAGAACATAGTAGACAGCAGAACGTAGTAGACAGAAGAACATAGCAGACAGAAGAACATATCAGACAGCAAAACATAGCAGACAAAACATAGTAGACAGAAGAACATAGTAGACAGAATAACATAGCAGGCAGCAGACAGAGAGACATAGTATACAGGAAAACAGAAGGACACAGATAACACACAGAAGGATATAGCAAACACACGGAAGGATATAGCAAACACACATAAGGATATAGCAAACACACAAAAGAACATAGCAGACAGCAGAACATAGCAGACAGAAGAACATATCAGACAGCAGAACATAGCAGACAGCAGAACATAGCAGACAGAAGAACTTAGCAGATTGAAGAACATAGCAGACAGTAGAACATAGCAGACAGAAGAACATATCAGACAGAAGAACATAGCAGTCAGAAGAACATAGCAGAACATAGTAGACAGAAGAACACAGTAGACAGAAGAACATACCAGGCAGCAGACAGAGACATAGTATACAGGCAAACAGAAGGACATAGCAAACACACAGAAGGATATAGCAAACACACAGAAGGATATAGCAAAATCACAGAAGGATATAGCAAACACACAGAATGACATATCAGGCGCATCCAAGGGCAGAGCAGGCAGGCAGGAAGAAAGAAGGACATACCAGACAGACAGAAGGACAAAGCATGCACACAGACAAATGTACATGTACAGTAAAAAAGAAGGACATAGCAGAGATGCAGACAGAATGACATGGCAGCCAAACAGTCTGAAGACCAC